ATATTAGGGTTTCGATTTCTTAGTAAATTAGGTCGTTTTAAACAAAATTTCTTATATATTTATGCTTAGTGAACATTCCGAAGCAAACCCCTGGATTAATTTATAGAATCGAACGGTTAAATTCACCCGACTAGATTGGACTCGCATAATTCGTCCTGCTCGCCGAGTCGGTTCGTGGACTCGGCGAGTCCGGGTCACAGATGCTCAGAAATTTTGATGTTCTTAACTGCTTTGTGTTTTGTTTGTGGTTTTCTTCATTCTGTCTTGCAGGAATTATGTCTAGGCGGGGACAAAGTTCAAGGGGAGGCGGTTATGGGTACCTCCCGTGGTTAACTTTTCCACAAATAACCTCCAAGCCTTCTCTTGCTCGCGCAAAAAACAAGCTGGAAGCGTTAAGGCGCAAGGAAATATATGTCCCCAATGATATTGACTGGCCTTGGATTGGTCAAACTGGGTTGGAGGAAGAGTTGACCCCTTATTTGGTCAAGTCTTTCAACAATGATGGGTTGACAGTAGTTTGTGATGGTTGGAGCCGACTCTTTAAGATTCAAGAGCCTGTTTATCAAGAATTGTGATGGGAGTTCTTTGCTACCATCTCCTTCCGAGGTGGTAGTGACTATTACAATCCAAACACTATTACTTTGTGTCTTGGAGGGGAGCTGCGTCAATGCAGCATTGCAGAGCTCGCATGGAGGATGGGGATATATGATCAAAATGTAATTATATCCGAAAATTTTGAAACATTCCTAGAACATTGTCACAAAGACTTGCCCGAGGGAGTGGTTGCATCGACTTGGTGGAACACAATCGCCAACTGGGTCTACATTCCATCATCTGCTCAAGAGGGGAGTATTCGTTCCCCAATTCACCGCTTGATACATCGTCTGATCGCAAGTACTATTAACATGTGAAAGGATGACGATAAGGTCCCTACTCTTGATATTTTCTACATGTGGAGCATTATCACTCCCGATGTTTTCTGCAATCTGCCATATTACTTGGCAAAATATTTAGCAGAGGGGGTGGTAAAGGAGCGGATCACTTCAAAAATTAACGGGGGAATGTTTGTTACGAAGCTTGCAAGAACATATGGTATTTTTGACCAAGGGGAAGCTCGGATATTGACCATGATTCCTACTCCTCCTTTCAGCACCACTTTATTTAGGAGAGCAAGAATCGTGGAGGATTTTGGTGGGGGCATTTTAGCATCCCTAATGCGGATGAGGTGCTGGTACCGGAGGAGCCGGGGAGAAGGGTAAGGCAAAGGAGGAGCAAGTCCGGGAAGACCCACCTGTCATTCTAGTGGATGAAGAGTTACCTATGGATTGGTACAACATTGAGGCAAGAAGGTACCAAGACGACCTTGGGAGAAGCATGAACTATAACAACGAGTCATTTGTTTATTTATTTGAACAAATGAATATCGCACCAAGGCCCGGACCCGAATTCCCCTATGTGCCAAGTTGGGAGAAAAGAGTGCAAGCAAGGAGGAACCAAGCTAGTGGGAGTGGAGCAGGAGGAAATGATGAGGAAGATGAAGATTGATATTTTTATGGTTTTATTTGGCTGTTTGAAGACAATTTTTATTTGTTTTGTGTGTTTTGAATTTTTATTTGCTTTTAGGACGATAAAGTAGGAATTTGTTTTTATCACTTGTGGTTGCTCTTATCATTTCAGATTGAGGCTAGGATGCATGCAAGAGTCTCAAATGGCAAGGCTAGAGTAAGGGTCAGGTCTAGAAGAGAATGTGCAAGTTTTGAGTTTAAGGTCGAGTCCGTTATCAAAGAGGGTTTAAGAGTGTTGCTTATGAAAGAAAAATGAAAGAAATACACTAAATTATCATACCCAACCATATCAGGAACGGACTCAGAAGCAGAAGACTTATTTATCACTCAACGATGTACTCGCCGAGTGCATATTTTGGGCTCGGCGAGTCCGCTTGCGAAACCACGACTTTTCTGCTAAAAGCCCTTTCTGCTCGTCGAGCAGCCGTATTCAATCGGCGAGTCACTCAATATTCCACTATCAAACTTTGGATTCTGACCACATATGATATGGGTTTACTTATATTCTTTAAAGGTTAATTCCCGAAGATTTTTTGAGACTATTTTCCCGCATATTTGGAGCTGTACCACACGAGATTTGACACCCAAGACATGGATGAGTTGTTCCCATGTTTAAAGTCAATTGAAGATGGAGCTTTCAAAGAAGAAAATCAACCTCACGACTACTATCCCAGCGGAGTTTGTTCCAATTCTCTCTTTACTTTTATGTTTTTCATGCACAGTATGCAATGGGGACATTATATAAATTAAGTGTGGGGTAGGGGGTTGGTTACATTAGTTAAAATTTTAGTTGAAAATATTGAAATTTTGCATAAAATTGCAAGGACTTAATTTAGAAAATTTGGTAAAAAGCAATTAGGAATCATGCTAGTGTTATGTTTGATGATTGCATGAAGTCTCAAATGTTTAGTTGAGCCTATACATCTTATAGTGCATTTGTGGCCCCCTTTTATTCTAGTGAAATCATGGGACAAAAACATAATCTCGCTTAGTTTGAGGGATGCAATAAGTTTAGCATCGTGTACCAGAAATGTATCCAAATTTTTTTTTTATCTTTAATCAATAAAGGTTGAAGTTGAGCGCCCCTGCTTAAGCATGTAGGTATTGAGTGAAAAAAAAAGTGAGTTACATGTTAAAAAAAGAAAAAAAAAAGAGAATCACAAGAGAAGTTGTAAGAATTTTGGAGCAACTAAAGTAAAGATCAAAAGATCAAAGTTCAAAAGTGGAAGATATCAAAAACCAAAAGTTGGTGAATTCAGAGAAATAAAGATCAAGTTATCAAGGAAGTGAAGAATTCTAAAAATAGCTCCATATTGGTATCGAAAAATTTGTAATTTTCTAGTTGTGTATGCTTGGGTTGCTCAACCAAATATACCTTGAGGCTAGGAGGTTTTCTACGGATGGATTCGGAGGGATGCATAAAATGAGCATTGTTCAAAAGAAGTGGGCGAGTGTTTATGAAGATTGTGAGTATTTAGAATTGAGGGGGTCCTTAGGAAAAACTTTAGACACAAATGCATGCGTTGCGGTCTTGACATAATGGCTGGGTTTGATTGGGATTGTCTTATGTATTATTAGTGTGCTAAAATTCAGTTTTGCTTGGGGGCAAGCAAAAGTCAAGTGTGGGTATTTTGATATGTGCATATTTAGCTATATATTTAGTATAGATTTTCATTAATTGTTAGCTAATTATTTACATATTATGGAAAAAAGGTACTTAATAGTGTTCAAATTGTATTTTCAGTTCAAAAGAGAAGCTCAGAGGTAAAAGAAAGCAGGAGATACGATCGAAAGCTCGGGAACTGAAGAAAGAAGAAAAATGATAAATCCTAAAGCTACTCGGCGAGTAGGGACGTCTACTCGACGAGTACATACGAAGATTCGCGAAGCAATACGTAAAGTCCTTGCCGTATACAGATTCTTGAAGGGGACTCCGCGAGTCAGTTGTCTACTCGACGAGTAGACCCTGTTTTGAGAAATCTATAAATAGAAGCAACAAACCCGAATTGACTCTCTCTCTGGCTTTTAGAAAGATTACTTAGCGACTAAGGAGACTGCTGGAGATCTGAAGAATGTGAGAAGAACCCTAATCCTCAATTCTAAGAAGACTAAGGCAACTTAGGTTTAATTTTCCACTTTTCCTTTGAATAGAACTATGTTAAGCTTGTTTGAATTCGTTTTTAGTTTTTTATCTACTGCAATTATGAACTAATTTCGTTAGTTTCTGTTTAGGGTAGACAAGTTTGCTCCTATGGATTAATTTACAATTTTGATTAATTGTTATGTGGTGAATCTTGTTAAATTAAGCTTGTTAAAGACCCATATGCATTAACCATAACTATTTTCTGTTAATTGCTAAGTAATTAAGCTGCATGAACATCTCTTAATTGCTTATCTCATATGATTTATATGAACACATTGCTATATGCCTAGGATTAGTGAATATGAAACTAGGATTAACTAGAGAATGGGTAAATTAATGTGTGAGCTTGTGTGATACACCATCAACAAGAGGTTAGTTGAATCACCAATTTAATTAGCTAATTACAAGTCTTATTTAATCCGAATAATTAAACTAGAGAATTTATTAGTTTAACCACTTGATCACTGCTTAAATTAATCTATTTTCTAAGGATTAGTAATAACGAATGTGAATCTAATCACCTTAGTCGGTAGCCAATAACAATTAATCCATTACATTACTATAAAAATTAACCATAGGAGTAAATGAATCGAACCTAAACAGAAACCATTTTTGATCATTGAATTTAGTTGGTTTTTACGTGTTTTCAGCGGTTAGTTGATTAGTTAAGTTTTAGTTAAGTTTCTAGTCTTGCAAAACTAGAGAAAACCCCTCTATTTTACTAATTGTTTTAGATAACTCTAGTAGTTAGATTAATTTCTGTTCCCTGAGTTCTATAACCTACTTGCTAATTCATATTACCAATTGACAGGTCCACTGCCTTTTGTGTGTCAAATTCATAAATTAAAAGTAGGATAAAACTAGTTAGTTTAACACACATCAGATATGGATAAACTAAAAATGAAACTGAATGTTGATGCGTTCTGAGCAATGCTTCCAAGATTGTGGAAATTGATCAAGGTACCCTATTAAGAAAGACGGTGATCTTCTTGTACCGGAATTGGTATTACCAATTTATAAAGTGATTGTTACTCCAGTTGCCCAACAAATTATTCAAATCATCCATGGAGCCCCAATCAAGGAAATAGACAATGAAATCTCTTTTGGTCCAATCTGCCCGATGAAATTGTCAAGAAAGTCTGAAGGTTGGCTACAAGACCAAATCAACAAGGCTATTGAATAAAGCCTCTAACTTCAAGCTCTAAAGGGTTCTCCAAATCCACTAGCTGGAATCTTACCACTCTATCCAGAATGAATCTTACACAAACATTACATTGTTTTGTGTATAAGCTATGATATTCCTATCTCGGACTCGGAACAACTTGATCTTACAAGATCTCCTTATGCAAGGTTTTATGTTAAGGTCACTCTATTTCATTCGACCGATGATCGGGAAATTCTCATCCGAACGAAAAGAGAATGATTACGTACTTTCTATGCCACCAATGCTCTTCCTAAAAAAGAAGTGTGGTCAAAACAAATAAACACACAAATTAGTGGTTGTGGGATGAAAGTACTGAGTAAATTCGGGCAACATTACCTTTTATACAACTAATACATCATTCGGAAAACCTAGAAGAAGCTTACAATCTCAGATGTTGACTTTCCAACCACCAATCCAAATGATGTCCTTTTGGTTGCAGCTCACCTCAAAGACAAACAAGATTCTGAAAACAACATTGGAGCTTACATTGCTACTTTAAACTTATTAAAAGATTCAATTGCCGAATTTGGTCACTCTGACGTTGAGTTTGCTTCCTTGTTCAAGACTGAGAAACTCCTTGCTCCAGTCAACTCTGAGTTAGAAGAGATTGATTTGTTAAATGATGGTCATATTTCGGAACCAGAGCACGGATACATCTATAAAAAGAAGAATTTAGAAAAGAAGGAGTTCTTCAGGCCTGGACAAAATCACTTAGTTCACACCAATGTGCTTCAAAAAATCATCGCCAAAACTACTAAGTCTGATGCTTCTGAACAAATCAAGCAAGAACTAATCAAGCAGCTCAGTTGGTGGATTGAAGTTAGAAACTGACTACAAACAACATATTTGTTCGTCTTTGGATATACATGTAAAATTTCATTGATTTCCAAGATGACTTTGGGGAGATTGTTAGTTCAAATCAAGTTATCCCTCGGCAATATGAATGTCCAAGTTCCAAGCTAATTATTTTTCCGATGAGGTGTTGAGTGAAGTGATCTAAGTTGAACTAGTTTATCCCCCGATATGTGAAGACTGGGTGATTTGGTGTTTGTACTATCTTTTCCCGATGTATTTTGTCTTATGTTCAGTAACACATGTAGGAGACAAATGCCAACTACACCGATGTGCCAGGTGGTTGATCTGTGATCAACTTTTGTTACAAATGTCTCCTAATATGATTGGTCCTATGTTAGTATATATATGACCATCCTTTCATGTAATTCCTTACCGATTTTCACCTCTGAAATATCATATCAAGAATCATTTAGTCAATCATTTTCTCTTATTCTCTTTGTTCTTGTTCATACTTTTATTATTTCTATTATTATCGTGAATACTTTGTTGATTATAGGCTTGATTGGTTTATCTAGACTTGACTGGAAACATTATTAGCAACCATTTTCATGTTTATCTCAAGGTTTGAGTTTTCAAACCTTATCCTATATATCTTGGATATCATTCTTGAACTCACAATGTCTAGAATGGTTATGTTGGCTTGGTTGTTGGATTTCAAAAAGGCTATATGTCGAAATGGTCATGCCTCCCAACCATCCTACCTGGCTGATCCTTATTTAATAGAACCGTCAATATTCACTAGGATTAGTGAAAGATCTAGCCTTCATTACCAGATCGCCACAAAATAATAAGCTATAATATTATAGGTTAATACTTGTTAGGTGTGCTTCTCACCAACTGGACTACCCGAATAACTGTTAATCATCTTAGAAATCGTCCAGGTGAGTTATCCTCGCTATAATGTATACTCCAATATGTATCCTTTGTATGTTAGAATATAATTGCCCTGAAGTACGCAATTAGGCCACTAGACTAGCTTAGTTAGTTGCTTGTTGTATTTTTTTTGAACCAGTGGAGTTAATATATGTTGGCGTACACAGGAACGTTAGACTCGGGTCTGCAAAGCGGGCAACCCAGAATCGCCTCCCTTTCTGCCCCCTATTTTTCACCACTTTGGTCCGAACAAGGCTCGAATCCACCACCTCCTAGGAGAAAACCCCCTAAGGGGAAAAACCTGGATGCATCTTACCAACTGAGTTGGTATCATTTGCGCTTGTTGTATTGAACTATTTGTCTGTTATATATGTGCTGATAAATATATTATGTGGGAGTTGAGGGTGGACTAGCTTCGTGCTGAATGTCAATATATTCGGGCAGGCCAACGTTACGCTAAAGGCCAAAGAGCGGACCAGCTTCACGTTGAAGGCCAAAAGGGCGGACCAAATTTATGTTGCATGTCATTATGTGTATACATTGTATATATATTGGGATATATGGTATCTTGGGGGGAACTCACTAAGCCTCAGCTTACAGTTGTTGAATAACTAATTTTCAGGTTGTTATTCTGATTGAGGAAAAGCTCACGCATAATTGTACCTGCATCGAAGGCATTGATAATGTTTTAAGACTTCCGCTAAAAACTCTATTTTATAAATAAATGTAATATAATGGGTTGTAAGAGTTATGTTTTAAATATACAAAAATGAAAATTTTTCGTTTGAAATTCGGGATGTTACAGAACGCAGAATATCCTAACCAACATTATCAATATCCAATAGGATCTAAACTTGAAACAACATTCCTTGCAAACAAAAGAACATTCTTGATCATTGAGCTTCATCAAAACACCACCAAACTCACCCAAAAGAGGAGAGATGAGAGGGAAGAGGCTCGAATCATGAAGAAGGATGTTATGGTTGCTCCCAATGAATTCTAGATGAGATGGAGGCTGAGAAAATGCCCTAAAACACGAATCCTTACCTTTGAATACGTTGAAAACCCTAAAAATCATGGGCTTGGGCCTACCCAGGTTCCACTGCGTTGAAGAAAATTCTCCACTCTGTGGCGATTGCCATTGTGTGGAAGATAATTCTCCACTCCATGGTGATTTCCACGACGTGGAAGACAATCCTCCACTATATGGCGATTGGTTTCCACCAAAATCCATTTCATCTACAAACAATTATAACTTCTTCATTTCAAATCCGTTTTTTTGCGATCTTTATATGCACGCAAAGGTATCGATTAGCCCCATAATTCAATATAATTGCCTTTAACTAAAAACATACTTAACTAAAATCATTATTTCATGCAAAAAACCTAAAATATCACCTTTCCTATTTTACCCTTTCACTTCAAAGCATAATTCGAGGGCTTTAATCATTTAACCAACATTATCAATATCCAATAAGATCTAAACTCCATTCCTTTGAAACCGAAGACCTTTATTTGACCACATTACGACCCAAAATCCCAAAATAAGAAGCATCCCCAAACTGAATGTTACAATTCTCCCCCACTTAAACTGGATTTCGTCCTCGAAATCTATATTGGTTAGAATTTATAAAAACAACACCAACACATTCCATACGCTTTCTCCAACTGCCTCTTAAAATCGAGCCATCTACAAAGTAAAAATGAGAGACCACTCAGATCCCACCGATGTCAATAAACAATCCAATCACTTGAAAATGCTCAAATGCAATAACAAACCAACTCCATCCACATACTTTTTCAGACCGGGAACCAATTAGTATAAACTCCAAAAAACAAACCTAAAGACTAATGATCATCCATTCGACAAACCTGCCCTAGTCCCTGATTAGGAACACCACTAATTATACATATCGAACAAGCGTAACAAACATTCTGAAACATCCCGATCGTGACTTTCAGCCAGTCCCAAACCCGGAAGTCATGACCAAAAGACCTTGATTACACACCTGACATCCTGATAAGTCATCACCAACCAACCGCTCCCATAAGCATAACCATGATCAATACAAAATCTCACGTGGCATCCAAACTCCCAAACGACTCAAGTGAACAACCATCTACCAAATAATCCAATAGACTTACAACAAACTGCATCATTGGTAACTTAACTCACATGAAACCTTCTCATAAAATGAACACAATTCCATTAAGAAGAAATCCAATAGTGAACCACTAATATACAACCATGCGTTTTCCAATAAGTCACATTCTACAAAAGCCCGATCTAAAGGAACCGCATGGACGCGACGCAGCCATGCCTATGTCGTGATGTACTTCCGCATCAGATGAAAAAAATGTATATTGATTAATGGTTCATTTAGTTGTTTCTTTTGAAAAAAGAAAATAAAATGGGGAGTGGTAATTATGGTGGGAGGAGGTGAATTTGATGCTAGTATATGAGAACGTGATCCCCTAAGAGGGTTAACAATATCTTCTCATTTCGTTTGTACTTGATTTTGGTTACGTGATGTATTGTAGAGGGTTGTTAAACCGCGAGTGTGTTATTGGAATGCATAATATGGTGCTATTACGAATTCAAAAGTAAGAATATTTGATAAATCACATGAGGAAATACTTAGTTTGGGCGGAGAGGGATATAAACCCGAGTTTACAACAATCGCCAAATATATTAGGTTGAGCTAACGACTTACAAGGTTAAGTTATCTAGAAATTATATTTGGGAGCTTGGCTAGTTTGGTAATAAAAGATTACCTAGTTATTTATCAAATAATTAATCAATATAGTTTATAAAATTGTGAGTTTAGACAAGTTCTGATGAACTTGATATATTGTCTGAATAGGTTTAGACAACTGGTGTTGCAAAAGAAACACAAAGCCACTAACTATCGAGGTGAGTAACATTACTCTAACACCATAAGTTTATATATGGTGTGTTGTTGCACGCTATATGAAATTGTATTGTGATATTGATAAATTATATGTTATTATGATAGTAATCATGATAGCGTGGTAGTATATGCATCATATGCTAGTTGATATATAACTTGTATGGTGAATATTATATAGAAATATAATTGGTGATTATCATGGAACTTTTGGAAGGTATAAATCCATTGTAACTATTAGATGAAGTATATCAAAGGGGTGCATTATAATATTGATGGATTATTGGTTAGCCTTATTGGTGTTATGAGGAAATAACCATTAGTGTAAACAGTATTAATGAAACTATTAGTTGCATAAAGTGCACCTTTTTTACATGCTCATTTCATGTTTAATTCAAGTATTGCATAGCATTTAGTCTAACTTTACGTTCATTTTTCATTTTCGGTACATTTTTTATGATCGGTATACTTTTCACCATTTTTGTGGATGTTTCAGGGTGATTCGAGGACTGGAGCATTCTTAGGATGTTCGAGGGAGACTCTACGCGAAGTTTTAGAATTATCGGAACAAGATTGAAGAAAACAAGAAATTTGGAAGTGGACGCTTTTTTAGTGTATTCCACGGTCGTGGAATGGTTACACTATCCATTCCACGGTAGGGGAATGGAGCTCTCAACACATCATTTTCTCATTCCACAGTCGTGGAATCTCAATGCATACCATTCCACGGTCGTGGAATGAAGTCTGACAGTTTTCTGGATTTTTCAACTTCCGATCAAAAGGAGTTTTCTGGCCATTTTTGTAGACAACTTAGAACTTACACTTGGAGAATCGATTTTTGGAATAACATATCAACATTAAGTGCTTTGGAAACATTATTTCTTTGATGTTGTAAGCTTGCTTAAGGATTAAACTTGTTGAATTTGTACTTCAATTCAACCATGTGAGGCTAACTTTTCCTTCCATTTCCGATTCTAGATTCCTAAATACTTGTTGTTAGATTGTGATGTGAACTATATTTCATGTTTATTATCTAGTAATCTTTGATTTGGTCTTCTTTATGTACTTGCTTTGTACCCTTTTCACTTGATCAATGAGATTAGGGTTCATATCATTATTGTTAGTCAAATTATGAAATTCGTATATGTTTTATGATTTGTAATTGGTAAAAAGCACTTAATATGTTTCATTGGA